AGGACAAATATGTAATGCATGCGGGCCCAAAACCCAGATGATGGGTTGATAGGTGCAGCAAACCACCATGGCATATGTATACCTATGTAACAAACCTGCATATTCAGCACATGTATCCCAGAACTTAAAATAAAAAATTCTGGAATCATCAAAGCAAATATACTCAAAACTTTTCATCCAAGTAATATGCAGACATATTCAACCCTCAATTTTAAAGTGACTATTTTGCTTTGTAATAACAATTCATGTATTTCTGGGGATGCTTAAAGTTATATTCAGGTTTCCTAGCTTTCTACCAGAACTGTCAATAGAAGGAAGGTCAGTGCTCCTGAAGGCTACAATAATAGATGGAAAGCTCTTAGTAGGAAACATAAAGGATTCCACATTATTTTTCTTACCCAGGCAAACTAGTTTTATCTATTTGATGTGATAATTCTTAAAGGATAACTTATCATTATCAGCAAATGTTACATGGAAATATTTTTTTCTTTCTGACATCTAAATGTCCTGAGAGACACCCATGAGCATCATTAGTACATAAGATAATCTATTTTGCCCTTGGAAAGTGTCTATGAGGGAGTACTGTTCTGAGTCTAAACACAATTCTCTGTGCTAGAGAAGGTGTTCCTAGGTAGCCTGAAACTCCTGATTCCATACTCACTTTTTTGGGGGAGGAAGGGGGACAATTGCTTTAATCAAAGAATTATCTGCCTCTAAAAAGCATACAAATGACCACCTTAGGGAAACCATCTCCATTTTCTCTCTCAACTCTTCCAATGGGGACTGATTGAACAAATATTCAATACAGCCATGAAAGTGAATTCAAAAATCTTTAAAGTTAAAATGACTAGAAGATGAAATATGCATTAAGTCCTATTTAACATTTTAAAATAGCTATAGAGACTAAAATGATTTGATAAAACTATCAATAGTAGTGGATGCTACAGAGAAGAGAAAACCACAGGTGAAAGTTCGGGATACTACACTGCTGATAGAAGTGGATTGAGGAGCACACATTTAGATTCCTTGCCACATATGACACTTCTTGAAGAATCCCCTAATTGTTCAAGAATATCCTCTGGGCACGCAAAAGCCCAGAAAGGCACTTCTAGCTGGAGAATATTATTGTAATCAATGAGCACATTGAATAAAAATATTAGGAAATATATTATTCCGTGTAGTTAATCCAAAAATAAATACATCTCTTTCCCAAGTTATACTGATTGTTTGCATTATGTATTTGACTAGGTTTGGGGCATGTGACATTTTTCTGTATGTATAATTCCTTTTGAAATGGAAATAATAATTTCTTTTGAAATAAAGAACCACAGTAAATAATTTTCTGTAAGAAGGAAAATGGTGGATTGTACACACAAAAAATTATTTTTTCTAGCATATTTTATCTTTCATCCTTTGTTCTAAAGAAATATTTCAAATGATGACTGCAAAAATGTTCTTCAAATTAATGAGTAGTGCATTGCATTACTTAAGCGTTTTTGTTTTAAATGTCAGAATTGATGCATTAGATATGGGAGCAGCCTTTTACTTCTCAAGAACCACTTTAAATTTCAGCCTATTACATCATTATTTTATATTAAACTATCCATGACCATTTATCCATCCATGTCATGGTTATTTATTCATGAACTACAAAAAAAAAGTGAATTTTTTTTTTTTTTTTTTTTTTTTTTTGCCAACAATCAGGAAATTACACTTAACTTAGGGTGGATAAACTCCTAGAAACAAGTACTATCAGCAAAATTTCCTCAGCCTGATTGAATATTGAGCACTCTTTTGGTTTTAAATGTTAAAAATCCAATTTAATGGCAATTGAAGCCAAAACAAAACTATAGGAGTTTACTGACACATAACTTAGTATAAATCTGAGGTTAGGCATGGCTGGATTCAGAGTCCAAACAATATCATTATAATCCTCTATCTCATTCCTCTATTTCCATCTCCATCTCCACCTCTGTTTTTATCTCCATCATAATCAGTTCTATGTGTCAAGGCTTCTCTGTGTTGGCTTCATCCTATCCTACTATGGAGACCTTTTCTTCTTGAGTTAGGAAAAATGTCTTCCAGCAGTCCTCAGATTTTACCTTAACAGCTTCTGAGATAAAAGGAAGAGATCAACTCTTTCAAAGTGTCCATATAGCACTCTTATGGAAGATGTCCGGACTTGCTTGTGTTATGTGCTCATGCTTTAGAGCAATCACTGTGCTAAGTGTATGGGTATCTCCTATAGATAGGACACAAATGGAGTGACTTGATCGACAATCCAATCAGGGGCACATGAAATAAGGAGAACAGTTCTGAAATTAAAGAGAGTGCTGAAGAAATTCAGATATCTAGTCCTTGGTTCCTTGAAAGTGTGACAAGTAAAGGTCATACTCATGTTTCCAAAATCGAAGGGAAAATTCCCAATGATCTCTCTGGCATAATAAAATAAGAATGGCATTAGATCTCCATTATCAGCAGGTTTACAATGTATGGAAATACCACATTTTATTTACCTATTCATCGGTTAATAGAAATTTGGTTTCGGGCCAGGTGCAGTGGCTCATGCCTGTAATCCCAGCGCTTTGGGAGGCAGAGGCGGGTGGATAACCTGATGTTAGGAGTTCAAGACCACCCTGGACAACATGGTGAAACTGCATCTCTACTAAAAACGCAAAATTAGCTGGGTGTGGTGGTGGGTGCCCGTAATCCCAGCTACTGGGGAGGCTGAGACAGTAGAATCGCTTGAACCCGGCAGGCAGAGGTTGCAGTGAGCCGAGATCGCACCATTGCACTCCAGCCTGGGTGACAAGAGCAAAACTCCATCTTAAAAAAGAAAGAAAGAAAGAAAGAAAACAAAAAAAGAAGGAAAGAAATTTGGTTTTGAAGTCACACACACAAAAAAGGAAGAATAATTTCGAAATTAGCTGATGAATAAAAGTTGTAGAACAAAGACAACTTAGAGCATGGTCCTTCTAGAACATTTCAGAATGGAGCACTTTGCTCCAATGTGAGAAGGTATGAAAAACAGGAATGGTGGAATGGCTGTTTAGGCTGTTCACTTAAGGTCTAGAGACTAGCAGTATCAATACTGAAAGAGTGGAGGAGGCAAGACCATTACAAGGGTCCAAATCAAGGTCTACAGTAACTCTGCTGTTTCAAATTTACTTTTCCCACAACTTAGCCTCACAGACATTCTCAAATTCTGGCAGAAACAAAGGATACTAAACAACTATAATGCACCATAAACCTTTAGAAGACCGAACACAATGGTCCTGTGACAGGAAACAAAATATTTTGATTTATTTAACAACTCTTATACCGCCAACCGTTCTTCCACACTTTCTTTCACTTTCTCCTAGATAAAGCCTTTCTATGTTTGTTTCCCTTCTTTTATTTCTTTTATCTGTACGCTTGTATTCATTATCTTTTGTTTTAATCCTTAAACTACTCAACTCTCTTTCCATTCCTATAGTTGCCTTTTTGTTACAAATCTACCTCCCTCTCTCTAAGAAAGCTCAATGATCCCAGATTTGCCTCTCTAAGCCCTAAGTAAATTCCATATACTTACCTCATTAAAAATATATTAAAAGACAACCATGTGTTTACTCAAGGAGGAGTGACAATATCAACAACTCACAATGAGGAGACTTGATTTGTGAACAGTCAATCAGTAGATATTTATTGCATACTTTATCTGTTCTGTAGAAGTCAAAGAAGAAGAGAGGCCTTCAATGACTATAATTGGAAGAGCAAGATAAACTTCTTACTTAAAACAGTCAAATAAGGATATGTGAATTAAGAAATATTGAGAATGAAGAAAGGAGAAGTCATTCATAACATATTAGTATTTTTCAGGTCATTGCTATGGACAACATCTATGGAAAAGTCTAAAGAAATTTAAGACCACTGTGCAACGGTTTTATACTTTTTAATTGAAATGATCACATAGTAAAGACTTAAGGGTTTTTGTAGATTATGAGACATGGAGGGATGTGAGAAGAAGAGTGAGAAGAAAAAAGGAAGAAGTGAAGTATATAATTGCAGCAAGGGAAAGAATCATGATCGCTGAAAAAAAATAGAGGAAAGAAACTTTTGTGTCCTTCTGCACTGCTAACCTACTGGTACCCTCTCTGAAATGTGGGAGAAACAAGATGCAGATTAATGTGTCTAAATTGAAGAGTGTAGGATCCTAATAAGATAGAAACTGGAGAAAGCTTGTGGAAAAGAGTGGTTGACTGCACCCTATAGAACCGTGATCCTATCCAGAGGATCCTGATCAAAGGGAAAGTGATAGGCATGGGCTTCCAAGCCAATTGCTGTTGCCTTCTGTGCGTCCTTTGGCCTCTTAGGGGTCCCTAACAGGGAATCTGCAGGATGCCCTATAGGAGGCACTCCCTGGCCAACTTCAAGTCTACAGTCTGTAGCCAACACAACCACCATTTCTGTGGTATCTTCAGGGAAACTGAAACATACCTCTTCACGCTTCCTCACACAGGTCATGGAGAATTCATTAAATGCCTTTAAATAGTAATCAGATGAGATTAGAGTTCCTGAAATTTTAATCTGGTGTGTTTGGGGAAAATGGACCTGAGAACAAGGAAGTCAAGAAGCTCTGGTAAGATTTAAGGTATTTGAAATTTGTATTAATATTGTTAGTTTTGGAATGGAAAGAAAGGACAAAAATGATATTTCAAATGAAGTGTCAATAGGGCTTTGCAGATGGGTTGTTGTAATAGGCAAAGTAGAAAAAAAAATCCAAAAAAACCCAGAGGCTTTGGGCCTTAATGGTATTTTTAACATGGATAAAAAGAAACCCATGAAGGCAAGCTGGTTTAGGAGTAAAAATTATTGAGTTTGAGATTATGGTGACATATCTAAACAGGAATGTCCAAAGAAATGGTAGAAATAAGTTATTGGAAGTGAAGAAAGGAGGCAGGCCTAGAGTGATAAACAGGATGTCAGTAGCATCTGCAGATAAATGACATGTGGCTACTCACTGTCTGTCTCATTTCTCCCACATCCATTCATTGCATTACAATCGTGGTGCCATCTTCTTAACAGGTCACTAAGCTGGCTTTGGAATGAAGAAGAAGGAACAAGTGTTGATATTAATAGAGACTGACAACTTCTGCTGAGGCATGGGTGTGAGTAACTCTTAAGTCAAACAGAATATTGAGCAAAATTGAACTAACCTTGTCTTAAGGACTTCTAGATAAAGAGATGTCTCAATATACTCTGACAAGCTACTCCATTATTTCACTAGCATTAGAGTCTGTCAGGCTGTTTCTTTCATCAGTAAAGTTAACCCTCACCCATTAGAATACTAGAGTACTATGATGACATACTTGATGACCCATCTGCTTAACTCTTTCACTTGGGATAAGGGAGGACATTCATGATCTGGTAGGGAAGAAAAGCCTCTTTGCAACTCGTTTTTTTGTTTTGTTTTGCCTTGTTTTTTTAAATTCTTTATAATACAGTGTTAAGGCACTAGATAAATATTCTGTGGGTGGCACTTGGAAGAAAAAAGAAAGGAAGGAAGGAAGGAAGGAAGGAAAGAAGGAAGGAAGGAAGGAAGGAAGGAAGGAAAGAAAGAAGGAAGGCAGGCCGGCAAGCAAGCAAGCCCAGATTTCATAAGATTGTATAAGCATGAATATTAATGTCACATATTATTATTTAAAAACTTTTTTTTCTCTTTGCAAAGTTTTCTAACTGAGCCATAAAATTCGCACTGGCCTAGAATGAGGCATCCAAGCTAAGTGTCCAAAAGTGCCATATTAATACTTTAATAAAGTTTGAGCAGCCAGAGCAGTGGTGGCAAATTCTCTCACCTCTGCTCCTATAAAACCAGTTTTCTAATTCTCCCTGTAACAATTCTTATTTCCACATAACTCCTTGCTAACAGTGATCAAACTGCCTTTTTGATCTTGGAGGAGGGGGCCTATTAATAGAGATTTTTAGTGAGGAAAGCACTTCAGCAAGAGAATAAATTAGATCCATAGTGTCTTCTATTTGGCAATAAACAGCTTTTACAGGTGAGTAAACCATAAAACAAAGATAGCATTTATTTTATAACTGCAAAGATTATACATTATGACTCAAGTTTTGTGCCATCAGAAACGGTTTCCCTGTGGAAAAGAAAAAAGCAAAACCTTGCTAGAGAAGAATTTTAAATTAATAAAATGCTCTAGTACATTAAAATCTGAAGCACATATCTGATTTCAGAATTCCTGCCCATGAGTGAGCAAAGTAATGCAATCTATATATCCTGATATAGATGTCCCATAAAGTAAATCAAGAAGAGGAAGTCAGTATAAATTAGTTACAGGAAAACTTTACTCAAGCACAAATGTATTTTAAAGGATATACCAGATTCTATCCTCCTGGAATGTGGATGTAAAATAATAACGATTCTTGATACAATAATTAAATCATTTTAATGCTGTCTGATATTCCGAAGCAGTTAAATTCAACCTATAAGAAAAAAAACAAAAATACTAAAGATATAAAAATTGGATCTTTTCAGCTGAGTGTGGGATTATGGTTAACACACAAGGTGAGAAAACTGGATCATTTGGGCTCCAAGGAGTGCTTGTGTGTCAACAGCCAAGGCAAATCAAAATGAGATGACTTGCATACATCTGTGACAGTGTCTTGGCCTGATTCTAGAAATCAAAAGTCATGAGACCACTACCTTTAGTAAAACAGGAAAATTAGGTGAAGCGAATGTCTACTACATAAAAATGGATAGCATATTTTAATATCTGAATAACATATTGAAGTGTTTTGTCTATGATATAAACTCAACTAATCACCAGTGGGAAAAAAAAAACAAGTCAGTAGTGGAGAAATAACATGTTTGTCTGTCAAAGTGTCTAACAGTGCTGTAGGAATAAAACTAAGTTGTATACTTCATTTTTCATTTTGTAGTTTAAATGTATCACTATAATTCGATATACTTACTGAATAATAAATGCTATTGAAATAAAATGACTATCAACTTGACTAAATTAGTCTTGAATGATAGATAATGCAGAGAATTTTAAAACATACAACACCGACATATTCTAGGCAATCAAAATTAAACCTATCTTCTTTAATCTAAAATAATGTTTTAGAAATGTCAAAGATGTCTTCAAAATTGGAATATTAAAAGGGCAACCTATGCAAAGTACTCATTTTAAAATTTAGCTTTACAGTACTGTTCTGCTGTGGGGCCGGATATTCAGACAAAAAAAAAAAATCACAGCTACTGATTAACTGATATTGAGGAAGGAATCATTTCCCAGAATGAGAACTTAGTAATACATTAGAATTGCTGGAAGAGTGAAACATCTTGCCATGAAACACAGAAAAAGCCTCATCCCTGAAGTCATGCCCCATCACTCAGTTTTGCTGGCATCATGCCCACCTTGAGGACAGTTTTTCTTACTGCATATACACACTAGAGTTTTACTCATCTATGGCTCATCAATCACAATAATAACTTACTTTAGACTGAAAGTGGCTTGGTCTGTGGTTTGAGAGAAGTGTGCAACTTACCACCTCTTCCCTTTCTTCTTTCCTTTCTCTTAGGGCAGTACCTGTATACTCTACTCTCTTGCTTCCCTGTGAATTTCACTGCCCAATTTAAATGTTTTACTTTAATTCTATCTGTGGATATATATGTCCTCTGTATTCATTCATTCACTCCTTTTTCTCTACCAGTTATGGCCCTATTTCCTTTGAAAATTTCTTTCTGAAGACCAGGGCAAGGTTCAGGGGCATGCAACTTTTGCAGTTGCATAAGGTTCCTTGATCAGAAGGCCCCCAAGCTTGGTTTAATGCTCTGTGGTCACTGTCTTGAAATTCTTAATAATTTTACCTTTGGCCTTAAGTTTTGTACATAAAGTCTTACGGAACAAGAGAGAATGCCCATGATTGCAGCAGATATGTACAATAGGCATTTTCATTGTTCTTTGCCACTTCATTTGAATATTACATTTGCAGTGACCCAGGAACACAGAATGCCAGTAGACCAATGATGCATGGCAGTTCAGAAACACTCGAAGAGAGTACAAGGTGTGTTAAGTTTATGTCAGAATAAGTATGGACACTGACAGTCCCAAAAGGCCACGTGTTCTACTTGAACCAGAACTTCTTCCACAGAAAGAAGAAAATGACCAAGGAACCCTATCACATGCTTTTTTATCTTACATTGTTGTATTAGCCAATTGTATTAAAAATGATGGCATAGAAGGAAAAGAATAGATAAGGCAACCCCTTGCTCTCTTTCTTTTAAGTCCCTCCTAACTCATCAGCAGGCTGAAGGTAGAATGTTTGTAGAATATGTGCCTATCAAGACATGAAATAAAAACAGTTGACTTAGTTTTGATGCAGTGTTTTGACTGCTCTGTCATGGTTAAGAATGAAATACGGATTCAGGTGTGAGGTATCTATTTAGGCCATTCTTGCATTTTTATAAAGACATACCTGAGACTGGGTAATTTATAAGGAAAAGAGGTTTAATTGACACATGGTTCTGCAGATGGTACAGGAAGCATAGTGCCAGCATCTGCTTAGCTTCTGGTAATGCCTCAGGGAGCTCTTACTCATAGCAGAAGGTGAAGTGGGAGAGGGCAGGTTATATGGTGAGAGTGGGACCAAGAGAGATAGGAGGTGGTGCCACATACTTTTAGACATCAGATCTCGTGTGAATTCACTCAAGGGGATGGTGCTAAGCTATTCATGTGGGATCTGCCTCCGTGATGCAAACATTTCCCATCAGGACTTACTTCCAACACTGGGGATTACATTTCAACATGAAGTTTAGTTGGGACAAATATCCAAACCATATCAAAGTACAAAATACAAAATGTGTAATTTTAGTGATTTCACGAGTAGCGTGCTCTTATGTTTGCATTTAAAACTGTCATTGCAAAATATAAAGATCAAGGGTAAAATTAATGCTAATAATTTATGTTTTTCTTTACTCAGAAGAATATTAAATAGCAAATAAAAACACCATGACAAGTTGGTGTGGGGAGGAGAGGAAGGATGGTAGGGAGATTACAGAAGAAAGAAAAGTTTTCTATCTTAATACCTTTAACTGAACTTTTCCCGTTTTCTGAACTAGAGGCACAACATTTTCATTTGCCCTGAGCCCCACAAATTATGTGTCTGGCTCTGCTGAAGACTTTAAGGTTGGAATTGTGTGCCTAATTTTTACTTACTATGACTGAGAAGCCTGCCATCAGTGCCAGTAATAATCCCAAATTATGGAAAAGAAAGATCAAATTGGTGACTTTTTGGAAACTCCTTGAAAATATTCTTTGCATTCTTAAAACTTTTAAGTAAAACTCATTCTTTCTCAAACATGAATAACCAAAATAATTTTTTAACACTCTATTTCTTCTTCAATGGCATGGCTTTATTTTATCACAAGTATTACAACATTATTTTTCTTCTATTGGTCTTGAAAATACGCAGTATTTCTGCTGTCCTATGGGTTACACAGATTTTGATTGGCCAGCATAGTAACTCTAATAGCCATGTGTTTTCTGGGCTGAGTTAGGAACCTGACCATCATTTCAGTCTTCAGGGAAAATGTGCTTTAAATACCAAGCAACCAACTTAGAAATCAACTTTATTCCATAGCTTGTTTGTAAATCAAGAGCTTTTTGTTTCTAGTTTACATTTTGTGACAGTTCAAATATGATGCCCAAGATACTGAATTTGCTTCATGATTGGAAATTTTGTTCATGTTTATTGAACCAGTTTTGAGAGCTTGGTATGCTCTTTTCCCCTTGGATTGGACTTGTCCTACGGGGAAAAGGTAGGACAAATGGGCAGGCAGGAAGCAGACAGATAGGAGAAAGAAAAGTTCCAATTTGGCACCTCAATTCAGACATTTCCTGCTTATATTCTTGCTTTTGTAGTTACTAGAAGGAATACTTAATATTATTTTAGGTAATTTTTAGTCCTTTGTCTCCTAGAGACCTACAAACATTAGATATTTTCTGTGAGACTATCCTACAAGAATAGAGAAGAGGTTCTAAATGCTATTCATCTCTATGAACTTTATTTGCCTTCAATCAGTAAGAAAAGTTAAGTATTTTAATTTAAAAAGGAAAAAGCACACGAGAAAAGTGAAAATTATTCCCCTGATCACTAATATCAACTATGGTCACATTGAATAATTCTTTTTCTGCACATTAAATTCATTTTTCCTGCCTCATCTTTTGAGTGCAAATTTTTTTTTCAGATGAGATTATCCAAATTCGATACTGGCAATGGTAACTGAAAACAATAATTTGGATTTTTTAGGTAACAACTTCAATATGAACTAGCTTTGCCTTACTTCAGTTATATTCTTAGCACATTATATGTTTTCCTTGTAACTACATTTCATTCTTATGTCTTCCTATCATTTAAAGGAAAGAGTATATTTTATGTATCTAAATGGTTAGTTCTGGTAAATATTAACATATTTTCAAAAATAACGGTTTCTACATTTCTATCAGCAAACTTTCAGTAAGACAATTTTTAAACATGTTTTAATTATATAATATGCAATTTTTTTAACCAGAGGACGTCACAGATTTTAACTCATAAAGGGATACCTAGCTATCATTTCTTTTATTGAATCTTCATCTTTTATTTGTAATAATTGTCCCTGATATTATGCTCAGTTAATTCCATTGCTTTTAGAAAATGGCGATTTTTTTCTATCAAAACACTATTGGATAAAGCTTCCTTCCCAGGTTAATAACTCTTATCAAAAATTGTTTTCGTGTGTTTTTTACCAAAGCAACTTAACGCAGAGACTTATGCCACTGTTATAGTCAATGTTAATAATGTCCTGGGAAACTATGAGGAAACGCTAAGTGATCAGAGATCACATATTCGGAAACTCTAGTGTGGAGACGATTCCACTGCCATATATACAGCAGCAACAACAAAACCGCAGACACCCAGTGGATTTTAATGGCCTCCTGTGTATCAGGTTTTTTTTTTTTTCCTTCAAAAACCATGATTTCATCGTATTCTCACGATAAATAATCCTGTGAGATAAAATGAAATTCTAGGATTAACCCCGATACCAGTAACACCTCCAACTCGCCAGCAAGCTTTTAAACCCCTAAACTGGCACACTGCCTTGTGTAAAAAGTTAAGTGGGAGGGAGTTTAGGGGTCCTTTGGTCCCTATAACAACTAAAAGTCTTGGTTCCTTCTAGAAGTACAACAGATGCAGTAACAGGGAACTAACTATTCACAAATTATTCAGTGCCTCCGACGAGACCCCGCGCCTTTCCTAGTTGGCTCTTATCCGAGCAGGAGTCCTACTCAAAGGCACCTGGTTTTCTCTCCTTTACCGGATACTACGAGGCACAAATCGGTTACTTCTGTGGGTGTCGGATTACTTGTTTGTAAACTGAGAAACCTGAACAAAGTTTTGTCTAACTTTCCCTCAACTGCCTCTGGAGGTGAGAGGGAGTACGAGGCTGAATCAGGAAAGATACCCCAACCACCCTCTTGTGGGTCGGGAGGAGCAGATCTGCTGGGTTAATCTTGGTGGTTAACAAACTGAAAGCAGCTACCTGGAGCTGCGAGCGGAGCAGCTGGAACGTTGTCGGAGCAGCAGTAGAAGCCGGCCCCTTTACCGGAAGCCCCGGCCGCCCCTAGAACCTGGCTCACACCACGCCCTCAACAACACTTTATGCGTCGGTGAACTACATTTCCCAGAATGCCATTCAACCTTCTTCCCAGGGCTCCAATGAGCGCCCTGGTGACGCCATCAGCAGGCGCGGTGTTTAGACTACACTGATGTCGTGGCGCTTTAGGGGAAGAAGTTGGTGTTTCGCCCGGCCCTGGTACTGAAGACGCGGTCGGGGTCACAGCTCTTTCCTACTCACCCAACCCCCCGCGCCCGCCTTTTCTCTCTCTCCTCTGGCAGGATGAGGCGTGCAGGCCTGGGTAAGAAGAGGGCTGAGGTTCGAAGTTCGGGGCCCTAGAACCGGCCATGCTGGGCGCTGAAAGAAATCGAACCTGTCTTCTGTTCCTGGCATTTGGTCCAAAAAACAGGCTGTCTAGAGGGGATCTTTGTGGGCCAAGTCGAATGGAAACACACCATTTGTCCCAGTTCCTTGGCGTTTCCTTAAGTCTGAGTCAGATTCAAGTTTGGATGGTAGGCTAGAGAAAGTAGTGGACTGGGGGTGGGTGTGTACAGGTGGCATCTCAGTGGTCGAGTGTCTTAGTGTTATTGCCTGAGCGTGGTTATGGACACTGCTATGTTTTCCAAAGCCCGACTCCGGTTTCTCTTCCTCTACTGGCCCTGGATCTTAGTTTCTTCAGAAGTGGAATTTGAAGAGTGGGTGGTTGCACGCAAAACACACTAGTAGTAGTGGTCGTTAGTCTGGTAACAGTGAGTTACAAAGGTAAATAAATGTACGTGTCATTATTGTTAAAGGTCCTGGAACTGTAACTTCTGGGTCAAAGGCGATTTCTTAATCTGAACCTTGTGCCACGGTTAAGGCAGTAGAACGTGATAAGGTTTGGCGACTTAACATTTGATCTTTACCTTTGGGGTTAGTAAAGTGGCTCATCAGCAAGAATAAGTTAGACCCAAGGAATTTTAATGGGCCCTTATAGTAACGCACAGCTACTAAAACAGCATTTTCTGATTCTGAAGCTTTCTCTTAGGACACGATTTATTTTTTATTTTTATTTTTTTTAAAGAAGACCCTGCTAAATTAAGAGTGCAGTATACTTCAGAAAATAAATGAAACTTTTGAAAAAAGATAGTGTTACCTTTCTCAGTCATTATAAGATTGAAGAAAGAAAAACAAATTCCCCAATGTGTCAGATATAATGAAAGTTGCCAATAACTATAGACTTGTTTATTTATTAATAAATTGTAGTATGAAAAAGTTTTTTGTTTTTTTAATGAAGTTTTTATGAATACTTGGATCATAGAAAGTGGGGCCAGGTAAATTGATGAGAAAAAAAAAAGAAAGAATTTTGAGTAAGTTTGGTTTTATATGTCTAAATGTTTTTCTTGTTCATCATCATTAATGACAAAAAAAGATTTATTGTGTGCTTGAGTAAACTCTAGGTATACAGTTGTTTGTTGCCTGGTTTGCGATCCCCAAAGCTTCCAGTCTAGTTGGAGAGTAGAAATATGTGCAAAGATAAGTTATAGTACAAAGTAGTCGCTATACATCCAAATACCAGATAGGTTCTACATACAAGGGATGGTCTCAGAGATTTCAGAGACAGATTACTGTGTACTTTGTGGAGAAGATCCTTGTGTATTTTGTGGAGACATAGGAATTTGAAGTAGACCTTGAATAATGGAGAGTAGGGGAAGTGGGTTCCAGATAGGAGGAACTAAAAAGAAATAAGGGATTATGATTAAACCAGTTTGGGTGAAGTAAGTGATGCGGGATCACACTGTGGAGATCTTCGCATGCGAGGCCAAAGAGTTTGGATTTCATCAGTAGGCCCCTAGGCCCTTTTGAGCATTTTTCTGCTGCAGTGTGCCATGTTAAATTACAGGAAAGTGACTTGAGTAATGATTCTCAGCCCTGACTGTACATTAGAATCCCCTGGGAAATTTTTAAAGTATTGTTTCCTGGACCTCAGCTCAGCCAGTTAAATTAGAATTTCACTAATTTAGAACCCACTACCTACTCTTTTAAAAAAAAAAAACAAAAACATTTTTTCTTTTCTTATTTTTAAAGTATGAATGTATATTGACCTGAAATTTTAAATTTGGGATCATAGTGAATCTGATAGATATCTGTAGGCAGAAGTTGCCACACTTCACATGAATCTCTAACTGGTTTTGTTAGCTTACTGATAGAACCCATCCAAAAGAAGTAGCGTTTATCTAAATAAACAAAGGCTGAGGATGATCTTCAGTAATCACTAGCTTTTTTACAACTTTTCATAGCAGTACACCACCAGAAGGGAAGTGGCTCTGTTTGGAATAGCAATTCTAGCATTTTATTTGTTTTTTACTTTTTTCATTGTATTTGGGATGGGTCATAGTTTGAGGGAAGATCAACTCTTCAATAGAAATGTGCATTGATATATTTTTGGCAATAAATACAACAAGAATATCACTTTGAATAAATGGAACAGCATGGAAGAACTCTAAAATTAAAATTAAGATAGGCAAAAGCAACTAAACAAAGGAAAGAAAATAGGAAAGAAAAAATTTAGAATGAATTCCTTGGTGAAGTTGTCAAATGTTTCCATTCAACCAGTCAGTAATTACTTACTGGGTAAATGTTGTATACTCAGAACCCCAGCCACACAAAATAAGAAGACATTATTCTTTTCTTTAAGTATCTTGGCCCTTATTAAACTACAGTTTGCACAGAGTATCATTGATTAATAGAGTAGGAATGCATTTTTAAATGGTAACTTTAATTGTTGACTGGGGGAAAAAATATGCCCACTCCTTGAGTTCTTTTATAATAACACATGTGGAGAGCTTCATGGATAGTGTGTCAGCAGGAAAATTCAGATAGTACAACTCTCTTCTGTTTGGAAAATACTTCTCCAATATTTTGTTGTGGTTTTTGTGGTGGTGGAGATTGCATAGGTATCTGCTGCATATAAAGTACTCATTAGGTACAGGGAGGATATAGAAGCATGAGATACTGTCCTTGCCTTCAGAGAAGCATATGACTCCATTCTGGACAAAGGTGTAAACATTCAAAGTTCAATAACAGTGAACTCAGATTCTTTGCATTAATTAGTTCACATCGTGTATTCATTGAGTGTACCTTACAGTGTGTATGTGTTTGTAGGTTTATGGGGGGACGTACAGTCTTGAGTCAAACAAACTTAGTCTCTGCCCTTATAGTACTGTACAGAGTGCAATATTAATGTTACATACAATCAGAGCTGTAAGAAATCAGTGAGAGTTTTGCTTTATAGGGAAAATGAAATTTGTGTTGTGCCTTGAAAGAACTTCCTATTCTCACCTTGACTGTCCTTCAGTGATCAGTGCTGTTACCTCCTGTCATTGCTGCTGCATCGCTCATTGAGCATATGGAGTCCTCTAGTTTTGTTTGTTTTTAATAGATGCAGCCTTGCTGTGTTGCCCAGGCTGGTGTCAAGTTCCTGGCCTCAAGTGATCCTGCCTCCCTCAGCTTCCGGAGTAGCTGGGATTATAGGCGTGAGCTGCTGTGCCCAGCAGGCTCTGAGACCTTTAGTTTCGATATCATCCTTTTCCCCACATTCTCGAGCCACTGTTGAATCTACTTCAATATCTGTCCAGTCTAATCCCCATAATCCAGATCTTCTACCACTCTTTTGGCAGGCAGTCCCAACCTCTTGGGGCTCTGTTTTTCTGCAACCCCGATACTATAAACTTCCAACTACAGAGTAGTCCAACCATCCATCTTCTCCTGGACTAACTCAGGCCGATGACTCTTCTGTAGGAAAAAAACCACACACCTGGGAGGATTGAAGCCACCATAGTATATTGCCTCAAGCAAGTTTGTTTTATCTTTAGTAATCCTGTGCAGTCCCGGTCCCTTTCTTCCATTCATTCTCCTTACTGTATATTCTGAATGATCATCCATTCTTCAGCAGTTAGCCCGTTTTCTCCCTTTACTGAGAAAATTGATGGCAACAATTATATTAAAAAAAAAAGTGTAGTTAACTAACACCCTGAACTATGCCGTTCCCTCTCAATCGCCCAACATATTTATGTACGTATTCGCTGTCTAAGGCCCACTCCATCTGTTGTTTGATAGCCTGATGACTGTGAAGTACTACATTAGGCAGGGTGGTGGACATTCTTATCCCTTAGAGTTCCATAAAAGTAGCACCTAGAAAGAACAATGGATCTGATACATGGTACTTCTTCAAATATATGTTGAAGAATAAATGAATCTCCCTCTTGACTCTCAGCTAACATTCTGCATGAGTTATTCCATCTCTTTCCTAGAGCTTCAATTTGCCCCCTCCCTGCTTTGGCTCTTTCCTGTCCAACTGTCTGTTTAAGAGAAAGAGATGCCAGTAAAGGACCCTCACTGCTATGAGCTCCCCTCCTGCTGTATTAACCACTTTTCCCTTCCTCTTCATAGCCATGCTTCTTCAATGTTAGCAGTAGATGATGTTACTGCTTTTAGAACTTTTATTAAACTATATGTTTCTCTTGAGCAGGGAATGTATCCTGAATATCCTTGTGTATTAGTACCTATTTTTGTATCTTCTGGGCAATCAATAAGCAGTCCAGAAATGTGTATTAAAATGAACTGAACTGAATCTTCTTTGGTTAACAGAGGGTAATGGAAAGAATTGATCTGATCTCTGTTTGGTTATTTATTTTTTAAATTCATTTGGAGTATGAATATTAGAGACATATGTGGTTTGCAACGCCCACCAGGGGTCTTTTTCAGTTCTTTCCTAACTATCTATGTTTCGAAAGTGGCTTCTCTACAATCCCCTTTGTGACTCTGATCCTTGCAGGTGAAGGAGTACCTCCTGGCAGCTATGGGAACTATGGCTATGCTAATAGTGGGTATAGTGCCTGTGAAGAAGAAAATGAGAGGCTCACTGAAAGTCTGAGAAGCAAAGTAACTGCTATAAAATCTGTAAGTGTATAACAAATTTTATATGTGTTTTAATTCATCTATTTCTATACATATATAATTATAAACTATATTCTTATTGACGTCATCCTAAGGAATTCATTTACTCAGATACTGTGGTTTTGTGAGGTCAAAGTACACTCAAAATTTAGACTGTGCTTTGAGTAAGTTAGAAAATGTGACACATCAAAAGATAGGTTTTTTTTTTTACTACTTAAGAAAAATCTCCAGCTGTTTTTTATATACTGTGTGCTGTCTGCTGTAATGTCTCAAACAGAGCTGTCCATCTTCCACCCCCAAGTAGCTCTTCTGCTTTTTTTAATCCAGTCTTCTAAGCTATAAATCTTGGTCTTTCTTATTTCTACCTTTGTACTCCATTTCGGTCACTGAGTATTACAATGTCTTTCTGATGTTTCTATCTTTGCCTTTCTATTTCTAATACTATCCCCTGGTTTTCTTTTCTTTTTTTTTTTTTTTGAGATGGAGTTTTGCTCTTGTTGCCCAGGCTGGAGTGCAATGGCGCGGTTTTAGCTCCCTGAAACCTCTGCCTCTCCTGGGTTAAAGCAATCCCCCTGTCTCAGCCTCCCAAGTAGCTGCGATTACAGGCACCCGCCACCACACCTGGCTAATTTTTGTATTTTTAGTAGGGACAGGGTTTTACCATGTTGGCCAGCTGGTCTTGAACTCCTTAACTCAGGTGATCCGCCCACCTTGGCCTCCCAAAGTGCTGGAATTACAGGTGTGAGCCACTGTGCCCGGACTATCCCCTGGTTTTCTTAGTTGAACTATTGGAAGAACCTCTTAACCTATCTGTTCCTGGTTTTTTGCACATTATGATCTGAGTTATATAATCATTGCCACAGTCCTCTTTTAGAATATTTTAAAGCTTGCATCCTGCACTCCCAGAAGTCTTCAGTGTCCTTCCACGATTTAATAAAGTTCATGCTTCATAGCTTGATTAAATCAGATAGATCTTTCAAAAATTGGCCTTAGCTTATCTCTCAACACTTCCAGAATCTGTGTGTGCTTTCTACTAGACAAAAAAGTAACTTTTCTTCTTATGAACATAAGACCATTTGTGCCATTTCTGCAGCACTTATTCATATTGATTTGCATTGGCCTTATTTGTATGTAAAAGGAATTTACCAGAATGCAGATTTTCTATTGTACTTACTTTATATTCTATATAGCACCTAGTATAATTCCTTATCAGTGGTGTTAATTAAGTAAATTTGTATTGATCAAAGGAATTACACAAAGATGATTTTAATAATATATGTGATTGATACTGCATTATAATGAACATGACGTTCACTTGTAAAGCATTCAGTAGAAGTCCATGTTGATAAAACTTAATTGGCATTTCATTATAATCTTTGGAAAATCGAATTACATTCAGCTGGAGACCTTTAGATTTTGAAACAGGATTGTTTTCGAAGTCATATTAAACTAAAATAAGTTGATTTAGGAACTGAGTAATATTGTATAATGCCAATTTTAAAAATACAACACTTGGAAGGACTTAAGAATTAAATGCCTTAAAAAAAAAACCCTAATGTAGATAATTTAGATTACTTGTTAGAAAAAAGTTGTGATGTCCTGGAAATATTTTTCTTTGGCATTAATGACAGTGATAGAAGTTGAGTAATGTGGACAATCTAACTTTATAGTTACTTTATTATCTCTGAGTTGTTAAATCTGGCAGGAAAGCTCATGTTCTGATCTACAGAATTCTAGTATGGTTTTGTGTCAGTATTATCCCATGTGCTTTCACACACATGAAGAACAGTATTTGCAGTGTTTTACCAAGATTTTCAGTAGATGATTCTGTTTATTTAAATATCTTGGAAGTAAAGCCTTTGATGAATCTGTCCTATAAAGTATTAGATAGATTTTAGTTTGAATAGCTGTCGTAATTACCTATAGTATTGTGTTTTGTAAGCTATGGCTCTTTTCTGTGGAGCTTCAGAAAGTAACACTAATATATATATTTTTTCAATTTATTATCATATTTTAAAGCAAAAACCTTTAACATCTAAGGAAATAATCAATTTAGACATATTTAAAGTAATGTAACATTTCATTAGGAAAATATTAAATAATTTTGTCTAGATTTGAATTGGTTGTATGGGTATTTGTCAGTCTTTTGAAATGTAAGAAGGTTGGGTACTGGGCTTAATTCTTGGGTGATGAAATAATCTGTACAACAAATCCATGTGACATGAGTTTACCTGTATAACAAACCTTCACCTGTACCCCAAACCTAAAATAAAAGTTAAAAAAAATAAAAAATGTGTAATTTATAAAATATAATAAATAATAAATAAAATGTAAGAAGGAAATATACAGATATTTGTAGGAATTTGTAGCTTTTGTAGGAATATAATAAAGATATAAAAGCATGCAAGTGTAAGAGAATCAGAGAGAAGTAGTACATACCAAATTAAAAGATGGAATTGAATATTAAGATGAAATTAAAATAAAGAAGAAAGAGGAAATGTCCATAATTTGGGAGGAGTAGAAATTCCAAATTCCAAATTTATTTTTTATTGAGCTTGATGGAAAGAGTATCAGAAGAAGAGAGTTTGTGTCTAGAAGACCATTTCATTTCAGAAAATGCTTAGAATGACATTATTTTTAGTTTATAATCTTGAATACGTTTATGTGAGTAATCATGTGTATACCTTCTTCTTTACAGCTTTCCATTGAAATAGGCCATGAAGTTAAAACCCAGAATAAATTATTATCTGAAATGGTAAGTGGTTATGTTTTTAAGAAATTTGATCTAATATTTGCGAATAATAAAATTTCAACTTTTATTCATTTTGAAATAGATACAGAGATCCTAAGTCCTTGATTCCCATCCATTTGTATATAATGTGTTTGGAATAACTATAAGGTTTATTTTTTGCCATGCTTTTGCATTTTTCATCTCGTCTCACACATGTAAGTGGGAAGAACAAGTGGAAGCCAATATATCTTTAATCCTGTTTTTAGAAAGATTGTTAAAAACTCAAGACAAATGACTATTTTGAGTAGTCTTAGAAATCTCAATAGTAGAGACTGCTAGTAATTTATTAACCAAGCAATCAAAAAGCACTTTATATCCAACCAACCAAATGTCGTTCACTTAATGGAAACTTACTCTTTTGCTTGATTTCCTAAGGATCACGTCTGAAAAAAGTGCTCATAAATTTGAACAGCCCGGAACCTTTTCTCTCTAACAACATATACCTTTTCTTGTTAGAGTCCTCTTCCATTTGTTAATGTTTATCTTGAATGTCACGCTTCTCTGAACCTTCTCTGGTTCCATGTGCTTTTAAAATTGTGCTATTCAAAAATGAATTTGGCATCAAAAGCAATGTTCTTGCTAAGCTTGTGCGCTGTAATCAGCTAGGGACCTCTTTAAAAATGTATTGAAGAGACAATGTATTCTGTCTTTAAATACACTGATTTAGAATTTTGTGGGGAGGGATCTAGACATAAATATTTTGAAAGAAGCATCTCTGGTGATTCTGATGCATAACTGTGGTGAAGAACCATAGATCTAAAGTGTATGAGCCACATAGACACTGAGCTGTACAAAGGATATTATTATGCCAGGGCCTTTACATCTCAGGATATTAAAATTTCTGTGAAAGTATGTGTAATATTTCTAGTCCATACCTAGGCCTGTCTCATCTTTAGGATTTTCCAGCTATGTTTTAATATGGTAGTTTTCCCCCATCCATATTTATAGTCCTTATCACATTTTACTACCTCTATATGATGTTCTCTTAACTTTTAATAGACTACTTCAAAGTCAGCTGTCTAAACAAAAGGATATTAAAAGTAAAGGTCCAAGGCCGGGCGCGGTAGCTCATGCCTGTAATCCCAACATTTTGGGAGGATGAGGTGGGCGGATTACCCAAGGTCAGTAGTTTAAGACCAGCCTGGCCAACATGGTGAAACCACATCTCTACTAAAAATACAAAAAAATTAACTGGGCGTGGTGGCCTACGCCTGTAGTCCCAGTTACTTGGAAGGCTGAGGCAGGAGAATCACTTGAACCTGGGAGGCAGAGGTTGCAGTGAGCTGAGATTGCACCACTGCACTCCAGGTTGGGCAACAGAGCGAGACTGCATCTCTAAATAAATAAATAAATAAATAAAGGTACATTTAACTGCTAACCATATTACATTTTGGATGAATTCCTCTACTTGGGTAGCAATCAACCATTTGACCTTGGGGAGCAATGACACAACAAAAAATGGGAAGAAAAATCTGTATGATAATGCACAAAGTACTTACATTTATTGTTAATTCTTTTTTATCCACATAATTGGAATAACACCTAAATAGTTTTGAGTTGTTGAATTACTCTGTGGGGCTGAAGGAAGTGTTTATTGGACAGTGAAAGAGCTTTTTATTCACTGAGTATTACTGTATTTTGCATGGAGAAATCAGGCTGATTATCCAAGGTTATCAACAGGCTCCTGAATTAATTAAACACAAAACTGTCATTACAAATGTACTATGGTAACAGTTATTCAGTTACTTGGATGTGCATATGTAGACTTAAAATCTAACTATTATATTTTATTTGCCTTTATCTCTGATAGGATTCACAATTTGATTCCACAACTGGATTTCTAGGTAAAACTATGGGCAAACTGAAGATTTTATCCAGAGGGAGCCAAACAAAGCTGCTGTGCTATATGATGCTGTTTTCTTTATTTGTCTTTTTTATCATTTATTGGATTATTAAACTGAGGTGATGCATGTAATTGTGCATTTGGAATTTGTTCCAACTTAATGGCTTGGAGTACCACTTTGATAAAAATCAGCATCAAAACATTCCTTGTGTTCAAATACTGTGGCATTTTCCATTGAAAATTGCTGAATTTTGCTTATTTTATAAATCACATTAGTTAATACAGGGCTCTTTGAATACTGTTTCTTAATGACTCATTTTAGCCCCTATTTTCAGGGGTAGTGAGATGGTATGGCTCCACTGATTTCCAGTTTGTTTTTCTATTATTTGCCAACTGTCAGATTAAATAGCATTATAATATTTTGTTGTAAGCATAAATGCAGGTTTATGTTCCATGTAAGGAAACTTAGTGGGAGAGTAACAGAATACCTGGAGAGCCTAACTCTGAGCTCATGAAGTAGTCAACCAGTTTGTGGTAGAATGGTAATTGAATTTTCCTAACTGCATCAACTCTAATGATATACTCCCTCTCCTCCTTTATTTAGTTAAAATCGTAGGCTGATTTCTTTTTACTTACAATCTTCCTAATAATTTTTGATGATAATGACCCCTCATTTCTTTCTGCCCGAAGACCTCATTCTTTAAATAAAGCTTGTTATTTTGGCATATTTCTGGTAGGGCCTATTGCACATGTGTATCAATATAGTTATTGTTTCATATTAACTTTATAAATTCTCTTGGCTTATAATAGTTTTATGATTTTTACTATGTAGGTAGGATATTTGATTATCATTTGTGACAGAATAATGTGAAGTTAAGTAATTACTGAACTCTAAATGGAAATAGTATGCAGGAAACTCAGACGTTGAACTTGAAGATAAGAATATTGTTGCTTTAATCCAGTGTATTTGTTAATGGAAAGAAAAACATAAAGGCAGACTGTTGAGTAAAAAAAAAAAATTAAAATATTGTTAATATTCTGTATTACTATTTTGGAATTTGTCCATTTATAGGCTCTGAAAATAAATTTTTAAATAAAATGTATTAGTTGACTGTGTTGCTTCCTTGTTTAAGCCTCTTTTACATTCTTAATAGGATCTGAGAAATGGTCCTGAAAACTCAGATTCCAACCCAAATCAAGCAAAGCTAATATGTGTATTGTTGGAATTTGCTTCAAACAAATAAGCAAATCTTGACTGTATTTCAAAAATCTCTTTAATTCTTTATATTTTTGGTTATGAATGTATTTTCTTTGATTTTGTTGAGTTTTCATTTCTTTTTGTTCATCCCCAATAACCTGTCAATTTGGGTCCTGTTTTTACTGGCTGCATTTGTCATTATTTGGGCCTCTACCTGACAGGTTAAAACCAACGGAATTGAGTGTGGTTAAGTGACTTAAACAGACAAGCCTGAGGTGTGATGGGAGAGGCACTGGTTTGAGTTACATGACCTGGGTTCACATCTCTGTTCCTTCACTTGCTCAGTGCTTTTGTCCTTGATTTCTTCATTACACCATCTATTTCATAGGATAATTGTGAGAAGTAGATAATGTATTGTAAAGTGTCTGGCATGTGATAATCACAATAAATGTTGGTTCTCACTAACAGAAATTCTCAGAAAAGGTAGTTATTTTAAGGACAAGACAATAGGTTGTTTTCAGGCTTTGAGGTGATGAAATTCCTCCAAGTAGGTATTTTCATCAGACAATTGGAGAGTGACTCATTCATTCAAGAAGTTTTTAACTGTACTTTGTGCCAAGTATGTGACACCAGAGCTCAGGGGAGACTCAGAAATCACTGTCAATAATTAAAGTTGTGAAAAACGGGAAGAGCAGAAGGCCAAAGAAAATGACTTAAAGATGAAAACAGGATAATCAACAATGGAAGCAGAGGATATCAAAGCTTTAGGAAAACCAATGATGGCAAGAGAAGGATGGATTTCAGGATTGTTTGGCTATCTTATGGAAGTACTTTGTAAAATATTTAAAAACTTTAAATGTGGATAGTATCATCAAACAGAGATTTCAGGAAAAGGGATTTGGGGTGGTATAAAAGTGATTCTCATCACCGCATGGTTCAACATTTCTTATGATTTTTATTTCTAAGTACTATGTAAAGTAGGTCTCTACCTGGCATTTTGTCTTGCTCGTTCACATCACTGTGTCTGCTGAGATTCCTGGCAAACTGGCATGTCCCTGCCCACCAGGCATCCTTCTGCCAACACCCTCCTTTCCCATCTAAAACAAATATGCAACATTTTAAGCATCAGAATTCTGGAGCAGAGAACACTAGCACCTGTCCCCATGAAAAGCTCTGGTTCTATAAAATAGCTTTCCTGATTTTTTAATGCTCCTAAATTTCAAGTTAGATATATTGAATTTACTTCTTTGAGACAATGTTGAAAAAGTGCTTGATAATTTGGGTTTATGCAGTCAGTAAATAATGTCATCATTCTATACTGATGAATAAACTTTGACTAAATATTTACTGGGAAGCAGAGTAGCATCGTGGCTAAGTCCGAAGGCTGTACAGTTACACTGCCTGAGCATAAATCCTAGCTCCACCATTCACAGTATGACTTTGGGCTGATGACCTCTCCGTCTCAGTTACTCTATTTGTGAAACAGGAATAAAAAGTGTATAAAAATATAAAAATACACACATAGGCTGATGGGAATAATTAAATTAAATATTAAAAAATAGTAATTTTTTATTTCTGTGGTATAAAATCTCCCACCACACTTGATTCCAAGCACTATTGTGACAGCACTGAAACACAAGAGTTGTGAAAATACATGCACAATTGGCTCTCATGAGTTGGTAAAAGCTAAATTCAGTACACTGTGGTTATGTTGATAAATGTTCTTCAGAAATATTTAGAAGTTATTTGTTTCCTAAATGAGAACCTCTTACTTAAATTTTAATAGAGAAACTTCAGATGACATGAAATTAAGTGGTGAATTAACTTGAGAATGATACCTTTCAAAGGCAATAGACACTTAGAAGATCATTTACACATTTTGCATATGTTAACTTTTTCTCAACTTGTATGGATAAAATCTTCCTACATTTATTGACCTTCCATCTTCTGGTGTTTGAAATCTTGTCTAAGAATCATATATGAAAAAGGCACGTGGTTATTGTTACTCTGGCTCTCTCCGTGCTTTTCCCTTCGGCTAAATGTTCAAGCAGGAGAGCAGGATCCTTCTGTGCATTTCATATAGCTTTGTTCTCTTTGTACATATATTGGCATCTATATCTTAGCCAAGTAATTCACCTTGTCCTTTTAGAAGAATTTTTCACAAAACTTGGAAAGACTCTTACATAAACCAGAGAGATATGCAAAGTGCCAAGTTCGACTCTTAAAGTAATCTTTCCTTAATCTTCAAAATGAAGAGAAAGAAATAAACATAAAATGTTTCTGACCAGAAAAACAAGCATATACTAGATGTGAGACTCCAAAATTCATTCAAGCTTGATCATTTATAACTTTAGTAGCTAAAGTATAATGCAAAATGTAACCATATTATCCATTATAAATATAAGTATTCTACAAAGTCTTTGTGACACTTAGAAAAGAAAACCTGTTTAACGTTTCTTTTGACTAACTTTGCTAATTTCAACATGGGTTATAATTATACAATTATGTAAAGAATTGTTCCTACTATGCTTTCTCAAAGATCTATGATTGTGGTGTGATACACTTGAAAGCAGACAGCTGAATCTGACTTTTAGTATTTATGGCTTCTCTAATGCCTGTAATTAATTTAGAAATGAGCAGGAAAAAAATGAAATACATAGCATAAAAATGTACCACAGATATTAATATATAATGGAAAACCTTGTTAGGTCATCAATTTACATTTTAAAAGAATATTTATAATTATTGCTTTCTCCTCAAGTTTATCTCAATTAATAAATAGTCCAACCAGCTGGTAATTTAGTAAGCTTTTACATTATTTAATAATCCATTTGCCATGCAAATATTAATAATATTTGCATGCATATATATATATATATATATATATATACGCATGCATATTTACTCATGACTGTTAAATTTTTGTTCTAGGACTTCCCTAGAGAGGTTATACACATACATCCATCCTAAAATGTAACATCTGCTATGTAAAACTCATGTTTTTCTTCACCAGTGAGGAATTTTAAACTGTTAACGTCTTCAAAAGATACCTCTTTTGAAGATACGGTGTTTGATGGCATATGCACATAAACAATTTTTCAATTCTTTTAGAGATATGAATTCCTAATAAAGAACATAACAATTATGTAGAAAAGAACATTTTTATTATAAAAAATAAAATGTTTGTGTTTAATTCATTTAGGAAAGACATATTTGGTGTGTACCAACATAAAGGACCTTATGTTAAACACCCATGTTTTCCATTAAGCACTTGGCACAGTAGTAGATCCCAACAAGTGTTTGTTGAATAAATTGATGCTTTGGTTTTCATCTTTTCTACTAGAGAACATATCTTTTTAATCACCTCTCATTAAAATTCCAGTGCTGAGACCATAAAAAGCCCTGAATAAAAATGTATGGCTTGATTAATAACATACCAAGTTTACTTACTAGCTGAGCTTCTTTGAGTATTAGAGGTACAATATTTTAGCCATTCGATTAATTGGGGGCCAAAAATTATTGCTAAATTAAAATTCTTCTTATGATTTTCCCTACTGTAAAGCTGAGGGAAGATGGGTTAAAATTGAATGCCATGTCTATAGGGTCAAGTATGGATGCCACTTACTCAGGCACAAGTGGAAGAACAATTGAGGAAAGCTGTTTAATATTCTTCCTCTTCCATCAAAATTCACATTTTGTAATCAAGTATCTTAGTTTTAAAATGCACTTAAAAACCTTTTTTTCTCTAAACTCAGAACATAGCCTTGAAATGACTTTAAAACTCTGTTTCTCTCCCTTTCCCACCAGATGCTCCCTAGCACCATCACACTTATTTAATGATATGCTTGTTTAGAAACTTCCGGGGCTACTCTAGAAGCAAACTAGATATGGAAACCCAGCTGTAGAACTCTCCCCCATCTAGAAATTAACTCAGAGGGGATAATCTATGACCCAGCCACAGTGAAGATGATACCAGCTTGGATTCTGTTCAGGTAGACAATAATTCAAGATAGTCATTGGAACAAGACGTGCAGACCTGCACCTTGCACAACTCCTGCAAGTTTCTTTTTTAAACCCCCACAGTCAGCCCAAAAATTTGAAATGGTTTTGTAGAGGCATAAACCCAGTCATTTCCTCAACTGCCGGCATTTGATTAATAC